GGAAGGCAGATGCTTAACCGACTGAGCCACCCAGGCGCCCCCCCATAGATTTAGCTTTAGCTGCTTAGTATTATGCCTTTAATGGCTCCAATCTCTTCCCTGGTCACTTCCCTCCTGGTGTTCACTGTGTTTCTGAAATGAACTGCTTGTACTCAAATTCTTGTCCTTTAAGAACTTAAGCTAGAACTGGGTGTTACATGTAAGTGATGAATCACTAAATTCGACTCCTAAAACCAGCATGACACTATATGTTAACTACCTAAAATTTAAATCAAAATTTGAAAAAACAATATTTAAAGAGAAAACCTATCTAAAGCAAAAAATAAGGAAATAAACCTAACTCGGTATAAAGTTACTGGTATAATCACTTTGAGAAAAATTATCATGACTTTAAAGCACTGTATTTTGACTATCCGCCCAAAGACAAAAAAATACCTGCAAAGAAGTCTTAAATTGAATTCAGTAGATTTGTATTTCTACTAATATTATTTTGAAACTATTACAGTATTTGTATGTCATATTTAATATCTATGTGTGTGTATTACAATACAATCAAATAAGTAATTACAAAAAAAAAAAACAAGCTAGACACTAACGAGTGATTTAGAAATGCTAACTTGGGAATTAAGCGGTAAAATGATCTTTTTCAGGGGACTGCATTTGAAAAACCTTGCCTTCTCCAGCAGCGTCCTTCACCCTCTGCCCCCTCTGCTTTGCAGGTCTCGTCTTAAGCATCCCCACCTGTGCTGCCCCTCTGCTCTTCAGTTCCTCTAACAACTCAGTCTTCTAGGTCTTGAAAAAGGTTTCCACTTATCTCTGCAATGCCCTTTGGCTACGCTTCTTTCTATTGCCTTCCCTTCCCTGCCAGACTTTCAAATAAGCATCTAAGAAAATTGCCTCTATTTTCTCTTTTTTTCACTTTCTGCTTAGCCACTGACAATGCGGGGTGTCGTCATCATGCTTTAGCTCTCCAGTCCCCACTAATACCCTTATTACAAAATGTAGAGGCTCTTTTTCTGTTCTCCTGCTGTCTCTATCACCATGGAGCATATTGATGACATTTCCTCCCTGAGAATGGTGTCTTGAGTAATTGAATTGTTAGAACTTCAGCAATGGAAGGCGCAGTTAGTCCAGCCCCTTTCATTTTTACATCTGGGGGGAACTGAGAACGAAAAATGTTGGAGGATTGGCCCAACAAGGTGCAACGGTGTAAAAACTGGGCTTTGAAGCCAGGGCTTCTGACCTTCCATCCAGTATGAGAACTGGTTTTGATAAGCCTTTGTCTGAAAACTTCACAGTATTCCTAATTTTTATTTCTTCTCGTATAAAGGCGTCCCCGCGGGTCTCCTAGCTCCTTCTCTGCACAGCCCATTCTCCATGATGGCAGTCAGGATGATGTTTCTAAAATGTAAACCAGAACCTGTCACTTCCCTGATTAGCCTCCAATTCTTCTCTACTGCAGTTAGAATAGAGTCCAAACCTCTTTTCATGCCCTGCAAGACCTTTCATATTCCAGTTCTCTCTCTCTGGTCGCATTTCCTGCTAGACTTGCTCCTACAATGACTCTGCTCCCTTACACGGACTCTCTCCCAGCTCACCAGCAAGGAAAGCTTAGCCCTGCCTCTGGGCACTGGTTTTGCTCTAACTTGTTTGGGAATGCTTTTATCCCAGGCCATTGCTTGACTGCTTCCTCCTCATCATTTGGTCTCCGCTCAAATGGCCACTTCTTACACTGATTCACCTTACGCTGACATCCCCATATCTAACATTTTCTTTAGACACGTCGCTGACCATCGCATCATGCTGTTTTATTTTCGTCACAGCATTTACCACTAGCTACAATTACGTAACTTCCTGATTTGACTTGGAGTTTAGCAGGTTTCCCATCATTAGAATATAAACTTATAGACTACAGGAATTTTGTCTTGTTTGCCATATCTTCAGCACCCAGAACAGCAAATGGCCAGGAGTTCACACTCAATAAACTTTTGTAGGATGAACAAATCAATGAATGGTGTCTGAATTTTTATTTCTCATTTCCCAGAATCTTTTCTCTTCTACCATACAATCCTGTACTCAACTACTCTCTCAATATTCCTTTGTGTGTACTGTCATCAAACTGGTTTTCTCATAAACCAATAAGGACAAAACTTATTCCTCACTGGGAGCCTTTGTTTCAGTTTTCTCTTCAACCCCAAGTCCCACTGTTTGTTTCTTTAGTCAAGTTGTATTACTGTGTCAAAGCGTAAGTCATGTTACATTTCCATGAAATCATATCCCACAGCCCCCATTGATCACCCGTTTTTCAAACTATGTAAAATCACCCATGCATGTTATGCAATCTAAACGTTCACATATAATCTATATCATCTTGAATTGTTTCCAGTTGTTTTATATAATAACATTTAGGCACTGTGCCTAGACACTTCAAGTGTATGTGCATATGTATGTGTGCCTGTACAGTCAATCCTCACTATTTTTGGATTTTGTATTTCTGAATTCACCTACTCCCTAAAATTTGTTTACAATCGAATTGTGTAGTGCTTTGATGATAAATCACGGACATTCACAGGGTAGTGAAAACCTTGAGTCACCTGACACATACGTTCCCAGCTGAGGTCAAACAAGGCACCACTCTGATTTCTTGTTTTTGACCTCCTACTGTAAACAAGTGTCCTTTTGTGTTCTATTTAGTGCCACGCTTTTCATATTTTGTGCTTTCTATTAGTGATTTCAGTGTTTAAAATGGCCTTCAAGCATATTGCTGAAATGCTGTCTAGTGTTCTTAAGGGCAAGAAGGCTGTGATGTGCCTTATGGAGAAAACAGGTGTTAGATAACTTTGTTCAGGTATGCATTACAGGACTGTAGGCTATTAGTTCAATGTTAATGAATTAACAGTATATATTAAATAATGTGTCTTTAAATAGAAGCACTCATAAAACAAGATTGTATATTGATGAGTGACGGAAATGTTGCCTACAGGAACCTAACCCTGTATTTCCCCTAGGAGCGGTATTTGCTAATTCAGTGTTCATGACAACTTTATAGGACAGAATTACCAGAAATAATGAGAATTGATTGTATACATGTGTATACTATATTTGTTGGCATTAACCTTACTTAGGTATTCAGAAGACAAAGAAACCAAGAGTTATTGAAATTTAGTAGTTTGCCCAAGATATTTGCTAAGCCGATAAATGGTAGATCTGGAACCTGGCTGTATTACTCTGAAGTCTTTTGGCTTCTCATTCGCCATACCAGTGGCTCTTGTTTGTTTTAATTAGCTGTAGAGCCCTAATTACTAGAAGAGAGGGAGGGAGGAAGAGAGTGAAAATACAAGTGGAATTGGCTGAAAGAGCAGTGAAAAAGCATAATTCATACAGAAAAATAGATGTAGATGATATTTTTTAAAAAACAACTTGCTTTATAGTCCCAGTTTAGGGTTTAATTACAGTCTCAAATCTTCATTTGGCAACTCTACAAATTTCATGTTCGTTATTATGAAATGAAAGTATGACAAGTAACCAGATCCTTGAGGAATCAAAACCATAAAAATACTGTCATGACCTGGATTTTTGTCCTGCCCTGAGGATGTCCACCTTAAACTTGCATGACATTTATCTGAGCTGAAATCATCCGTGATATGGAAGTGAACACATCTGCACGTTATATGTGGTTAGACATGCCAAGGCCTGATTTCATAAAGGGCTGTCACCCTCCTAATCAATTGTGCATTTCTATAGAGAGATGACAGGAGAAATTATAGCTTGAAATTTATATAAATTTACATAAAACAGATTAACATGGGTTAAGTTACTATGTGGTCTCCCGGTGTATGTATGTATCTATCTGTCAATGCATATTAATACATATGTACATACCTATTAAGACCTATTTTTACATACTTTATAATTTACCTTCAAAAAATAAGTTAAACATTTTTAGAAGCACTTTTGTGAACAGTTTGAAAAACCGACTTTTCCCCCTCTAAGTAGATTTTCTAAGGGCCTAGAGATGAAGATTCCTAGCTTTTTTGCTTCCTTTTGGCAAATGACCTGAGTTAATGCTAAATATAAAGAAGTCTCTCACCACTGATAAATCAGTTTAGCCCACATGGTTGACAACCAGTTGTATTAAGACAACGATTTCTGCAGTGTCTGGGTTAGAATTCAATAGTGTGATGGAATGATGTCACCTGGTTCTGTCGCATAAGGGTCTTAATATATGTACAGAATGGATGAGATTTTTTTTTCATATGATATTCTCTTGACATTTCTTTTTCACTTGAAAACAAGAGGCAATCATAAGGCTCAAATTAACACTTCTCAACTTCCAAAAGCTGCCAGAGATAAGGTTGAGTGAGGAGCTTCCAACAGGGAAGAAAGACAAGATAAGGACATTTTGTCTGCCTCAAGGCTATACTACAAATCCTGGAGTGTTAGAAAAGGAACTAAAGGGTCCTTAAGAGCTGTGTCATCAAGCCAAAGGAACTAATTGGTTTCAACTTAGGATTCTGAAATCACTCTCATTTCAGTATTTCCTAATATTTTATTTTCCCTTAGAATAATTAAATAGTTGCATGTCCAGTGACTTGAACGATCCTCTTTTGGGGAGCTAAGCTCTTCACAAATCAAGGTATCAAGGTTGATTTGTTTTTCCCCACTTTAGAGTATAGCTGAATTCCATGGTGCAGATAAAAATGGATTACCCCCATGATTCCACCTAAGGTTTTGTTGCCTGGGTCAACTTCTCCAACAGGGCAGAGGACTTCTGCGTTCAGAGGTATTGACCCAATGGCTTTGTCTTGCCAGCATTCATTAATTTATCTATTGTGTTTTACTAATATAACACCACTGAGAATTTGTTTAGCAAAAAATTCTCTACCTCAGCCCCCAAAAGAACATTAAAAGCAATAGAGAGGTTCCAGACTTTTCAGTCTTATAGTCTTGCTTATTTTTCAGGGGAGATTATTGAAAACAGTAATTCTTTCTCACTTCAGGAAAAACTATCAGAGGAAGAGAGAAAACACAAGGGAACTTTGGAAGGTCTTCACGTGGTGGATGAGGACTCGAGGAGCGAAAGCAGCAGTGCAGATGAGGGGAAAGAAAACACCAAATTCCTGTTGGAAAGATTGAAGGCTCTAGAGGTAAGAAATGAAACAACTTTTACATGTTTAAAGAAAAATGACAGTGCTTTGCTTCTTTTATTGACATCGGTTTTGAGTGAGTATAAGTCTTCCTTTCTCAGTTCTCCTAGACGAATAGGATCCTAGTATCTCCCATTGTGATTCATTTGTCACTGATGAGCAAAAAGTTAAAATTTGTAGCCCTGAGAGTCTTGACCTCATGGTTCTGACTGCAGTGCTTTAGAAAGCGTACATAGGACAATAATTCATTTTAAATTCAGTTCGGCCCTTAAACTGGATCAGGACTCCTAAAATTACATGCTCCGTGAGGAAAGGTGTTGTGTGTATTATGTATTTCCCCAATACGTAATATAAGGACTAATTGAGCGAATGAATAAATAAAACTATCCAGTACTATATAAAGATGACTGCAAGAAAAAAATCAAATTTTTAAGTAGTCTAAGCATTTCTTTAAAAAGAAAATCTGTGCAGAAGTTCGACATGTAAAACAAACAGGTAGAAGTGAAGCTGAGCTAAGGGCACTTTAAGGAGGATCTGGAGCTACCACAACCCTCCAGGACAATCTGAAACCACTGGTCTCTTACTGAGTGGCCTTTGGCATCACTGCACATGCTAATTCCTCAATGTTTATAGCAGTCCTCAGAGAACATTCCAGTTATTAGATCTCGATTAATACCTCACATGCTGAAAGACTCAGTGAAGGTGGCTTTATCTACAAGTTGGCTTAGCACCTCGAACAGGGACATAGTTACTTTGAAGCCTGACTATGGTGAGCCCGTTTCATCTTAACTAGGTGCAAGGGACCTTCAGCTAACATCTAAATATAGAGTTCAACAATAGGGTTGACAGAAGCCTGAAAATAAATGTGAAGAAACAAGATCCAGTGAGGTCTTGTTTTCTATGCTTGGTTACTGCAGTTCTGCCTCTAATCCGCCATGTTGTCTATAGTGAGCACACCCTTTCTAAACTAATTTCCTCAGCAAAGGTAAAGCAAAAGAGTTCAGATTATGGACTTTGGAGCCAGATTCCCAGGGTTTTGTTTGAATCCAATTCTGCTCCTTTCTAGTTTTGAAACCTTCGGTCAGTTCACTAGGCTCTGTGCTTCTGTTTACTCAACTGCAAACACGGGGATCCTAATAGTAAGCTATCTTCCAGGGCATTGATGCCGATGAAATGAGTTAATATTTGTGCAGTGGTACCTGGTACATGGCTTCCTCCATGCACCCACTCCAAGGCTCCTGGCTTTGTTATATCATTTTTTTTCTATTTCTCTTGATTTAGCAATTAATACAAGAAATATGAGTGGAAAAACTGAGCTACTCCACACATGAGTGACAGGATGGACAGACAGGTTGAGCAGGTGATACCAAACATGGGGCAGAAGAGAAGTCAACTTAGGGAATGTCTGGCAGCCCCATGGGGCACACAGCCAGGAATCCTCCCTGTCTCCCCAGAGCTTCTCACACTTGTGTTGTTTTTAAGAAAGTCACTGAGGAAGGTGGGAAAGCCTTCTCAAGGGAGACTGAGGTTGCTGTCTAAGAGCTTTGAGAAAGTCATAGCTTTGTCTAGAGTTTGAATTACCTGGATTTAATAGTAGAAATTTAGTTGCTACTACAATTTCTTATTTCCCTAGAACTATGTACTTAAATTGTTAGTTTTATTCCTAATTACAGTGACTATGGCTCTTAGTTCATCTAATTGTCACTGAGACAACTTTGTGAAGGACATTTCATTTAATCAAGCAAAGAGGTATTTTAAAAATATCTTTGGCAGGAAATGTTTCTTAACCCCTGACTGAGTAAAAGAGAAGCGGTATTTTTTTTTTCTTTCACAGAGATCTTTATACTTCAGGCAACAACTCTTGCGTCCAGCAATAGTTGGATGCAATAGATGATATCTCTAAGTGCCATTAATCCCTGCAATTTTAATTCACAAAAACATTTTATTTTCTAAATTAATTTCTTCTGGTCAGTGTCACTGCTTGTTTCCTAAAAGTCTTTGCTCAATATTAAGTAAACTCTCTCCTTACCCACAATTCTCACTACTATCCATTTGAACTTGATCTTCAGTTAGCTGTTTCCTCCAAGTCCTTCAGCTGCAGGGCATTTCTCCCTTGCCCGTTTCTGCAACTCAGTTCCCAGCCTGGCAAGAGAATATGGCCAACTCTTTCCCACATGCTATGTCTCCCTCCACAGGGTTATGCGGGGCTCTGTACTCGGTCCCTGCACTCCACTCATGGCCTCATTCCATACCGTCCCAGGGTTCATCAAGGTATTTTGCTAAATAAAACATTTACCTTCCAAAAAGAGCTCCAGGGCCAGCAAGCAAAATAATAATTAATATTCTCTCTCTCTCCATCTCTCCCCACCCTCCTCTCTCTTTCGTCTGAGCAATTGGCAACTGCTCTCCCTGGGCCTAAATTGTAAGATTTGTTTAGGGTCCTGGTGTCTGGTGGAGGAACTGTTTGCTGTATTTTATATCTGTGCCGTAAGAGTGACACGGGTGATAAAGATGCCACTTGCACATTTTCTGTTGCTTTTAAGTGCCAGGTGTAGTGTTTTCTATGTTTTCTAAAAAAAAATTCTCATTTTCAAGACTTGGGTTTAAGAGGCTGCTTATTCAACTTAGGATCAAACTCAGTATTTTCAACAGCACTGCCCTGTCACAGTCTCTATCAAATGACCACCCCTCTCTCCTACCCCATCCATGACCACTGAGTCAAGGGATTTTCCCAGACTTGACCTCCACAGCCCATTGACTTGACCTCGTGTCTTCCCTGTTCCCTTGTGTCTGCCCTGGATTTTGGCCTCAGGCCCCGGATTTGCTTATGGGCATGTTCCTTAAAATACATGATTTGCTTGTCTCAGGCCTCCCTCTGTACATTCCCACCTGCCCTTTCTAATCACTCATTGACCAGCTTCAGACCTGACTAGAAATCAAGCTGGACATGCCCTTTGCTCAGTCTCAACTCCCACGGCATCTCTGATTCCCAGACTCTAGCCAGGGGGAGGCCTGAGACAACCTGGGAGTTCTGAGCCTTCAGGTAAGTGCTGATGCCTTAGCTATAGCCTCAAGGTCAGAGGAACTTGGCTTCTTATACAAAAGATTTATTTTGTGCAGAAAAACATGGCAATTAAATGTGCTAAAGTGAGTAACAGCATTTTCTACTTAGTTATACCTTTCCATGAAAGTATGACAATTAAAGTGCTAAGCATAAGCGTTTTTGTTAATCAGTAATTCCTATTTAAAATGAGGTAGTTTAAAATAGTAATTCTCAAAGCCATCTGCACATCACAATTATATGTTGAGTTCATAGTCAAATAGATATTTATTGAATACTTTCTATGGGCCAAATACTAGGAGCAGATCAATTCTCATGGTCCAAAACCCCAGTGAACAGAGACAGAAACTACATACTTAAATAATAAATAAGCAAGCAAACAAACAAACAGACAAATGAGTGCCTCTGAATAAGAAAATCCAGGTGATATAGTCATCGAGAGAGTACGGGGTAGAAATGAGAGACTTACTTACCTATAATGGTAGCTGATTACCAGGCCATTTGGGTGCAGTATAAATAACACAAGGGAGGGGCACCTGTGTGGCTCAGTTGGTTAAGAATCTTCCTTCTGCTCTGGTCATGGTCTTGGCGTCCTGGGGTCGAGCCCAAAGTCAGGTTCCCTGCTCATGGGGGGAGTCTGCTTCTCCCTTTCCCTCTGCCCCTCCGCACCCCGGCTCCTCTTCCTGGGCACTGTCTCTCTCTTTCTCTCTCGAGTAAATGAATAAAATCTTTGAAAATGAATAAATAAATAACACAAGGGAGAGAGCTGTATGAAGATCTGGACAAAGGACAAGGAGAAACTGCAAGTGGGGAAGCCTAGATATATGGTGGAAATGTTGGCAAGTTAGAGGAACAGAAGAAAGAAATTTGCCCTGGAACACAAGTATAAGGTTAAAAAATGGGAAGAAGATAAAGTCAGAGGGGTAGACAAGGGTCAGACCCTTTAAAGCCTTATAGGCCACAGTCACAGTAAAGACTTTGGATATAATTGTACATTTAAAGGGAAGCCATTAGAGATTGTTTACTAGGGAAGTAACATGGTCCGACTTGTGCTTTATTTAGAAGGACAACTCTTGCTGTTTGGTGGGCTAATAGCAGGACAGGAAGTCTAGGCAGGAGATTCTTTTAGATTCCAGATGGAAGTTGTTAGTAGACTAGTCTAGAGCAGGTAACTAGGACTAACAGGAAATAATAATATATAATAATATCATTAGACTGGTGGGCTAGAGGGGAATAATGATGATGACAGTGGTGGCAAGCCCTGACATAGAGCTTAGTATGTTCAAGCACTGTTCCAGTTTATCTTTCTATACATACACACATACACACACTATTTTAATCTCTGTAATAAACGTGGGGGGAGGGGAGATATGATTATCTCCATTTTACAGATGAGGAAACTGAGCCCCCAAAAGTTGGGTAAGTTGCCCAAGGTTATGTAGTCAGTAAGTGTGAGACTCAGATTTTGAGCTCCACTGTGGTTCCATTATGCTGTGCTGATAAGAAATGATCAATTGAGTATGTGTTGTAGAAGTAAAACCTATGGGAATTACTGAAGGATTGGATGAGGAATGTATGAGAAAATGAGAAATCAAGAGTGACTTTTAGGTTTTTGGCCTTAGCAACTGAGTTACAGCAGATTTCTGAGAAAGGCCAGCCTCAGAGCAGAGGGGACTTGGGGAAAGGAATATACAATCATCAGTTTATTTTGTCCATGTGAAGTTGAGATTCCTACTAAACATTCAAGTGACGATGTTTGGTAGGCATTTGGTTATCCAAGGCCAAGGTCAGGGCAAGAGATATGGATTTCAGAGTCATCAGCATATAAATGGCATTCGACATTGTGGGACTTAGTAAAGCCAGAAGTAAGTGTAAACGTGGACCATCACAGGGCAGAGGACAGACCCCTGTGCCCCACCACTAGAGGTCCAGCAGAGGA